ACTTTCATGCTTTAGCTATCGAAAGTCACAATTTTCAATAGGCAAATCATCAGGAACCCCTTGTAAATGGACCATTTTCCATAGGTACCCTCTGGTAATTTAACATAGCCATGGAAAATGGCAATTTGTAGTGGATTTTCCCAGCTAGAAACCTCCATTTACAAGGGATTTTCCATGGCTATGTTAGTCATAACCAGATGGTATGTTAAATAACCCGAGGGCACTCATTGTCCCGTAACCCACAACGGTAACATCTGCCAGATCGACTTCAATTGGCCGTCCAGGTATTTATCGACAAAGGCGTCATCGATGTGCCTGTGACGAGAAGAAATTTTGGAAACCCAACCATGATAGAACAATCATTGGTAACCATGGGGTTTTTTCGATGGGAATTTCTGGTGATATTTATAAAATATGACATCATACCCATGACGGATCCATGGTGCTGCCATATATGGTGTGCCATGGATCCCACCAATATACCCCAGTCATGTTAGCATTAATAAACCAGCACCATGGATCCGTCATGGGTGATAGAACAATCATTGGGAATAATGAGAATACCATGTTTCGTTATTTCATGGTTGGGTTTATCATGATACAACAATCATTTGGAATCACGATAGTCCAATATTTGGGGTCTTTCGTAGATAACTAGCAATACATGGTATAGCCGTTGAAAATGGGAATTCGACGCCGATTTGCGGCCATTAATCATAACGAATAACGAATATAGCAAGGATTATCGACAAGAAGTTGGTTCAACTATCCTGTTTTCAAACGCGGTTCAACTATCGATGGCTGGATTCAAGGGAACATGTAACCAAAACTTGGGATGTTCACCAACAACGCAATGAAACTGGCTTTAGTATTTTGAAGAAGTTTCAATCGAAACCCAATTTTTGGGACAGCCAGCAATTCTGTAGCAATTTTATCAATCACATAAAGGATTGTTCGTTGGTTAAACATGCTTTCAATCAAGAACAAGGCAAAGTAAACCAGCCCAAACTTGGGATTAGTGAGGTCGGTTGAAGGGAACTGTTTGAGGAGATCATGATTTTTACCATGGGGTCATATCAAAATAGATCAAGCAGGTAAACGATTGAACCGCTCGACCAATTCTTCCATGCTAATCTAGTCGCAAATCTTGTCACTCTTACTGGAAGGAATCAAACGTTCATCATTTTTGTCCAAGAACAAAATCATCCTGTGGATCAGCTGTTGATGTTCGAGCAAGAGTTGGAAGTTCAATGTGGGTCCTATGGCTATGAGTCAAGCATTCAAGAGAGGTTAGGAATACTGCTGGCGTTCTTCACACAAGCTGGTTTGCTTAATCCCCATCTGATGGCCTAAATCCGTATTGTTCATGGTCAACTCCGAGTCAACTCGGAGCGTTCGCTGCTTCCATTTCTGCTCGTTCAATGAAGAATTTGGCTGGCCAAAAGCCCCAGCCTAGGAGCAGGGCAGCAACCGCAGCAACTATTCGTCCTCAGCAGCTGGCAAGGTGTTTTACACTGTATGCATTTGATTCGATAAAATGTTCGTCCATAGATTGTATCTTATCGTAACTATATATTTATATATAATATTTGATACATTAGAGATTTGATGATATAGTATGCAATATATATATATATATCACACCGCAATATATTAAACTATACAGTACATATTTGGGACTACAATGGGAATATCATGGGATATATACTTGGGCACTTGGGAATATAATGGTATAATTAATCAACTATGTATATATATATATATGGCTGTGAGCATAAATTCTGGTATGGATCGTTCCGCAGTGATCCGTACTATGGATCGGGAGTGCTTACGTAAGGTGCCTGATCCGTACCCTTTCGTAAGGGCTCATCCTAGCATACAAATTGTGCTGATACTCTTACTATCTCCTACTTGCTATTACTTCTCCTCCTGCTACTGTTGCTGCTAAAACTGCTACCACTGCTAGTAGAGGGAGCAATAAAAAAAACCAGCACGAGCAGCAGTAGTGGCAATAGAAGGAGGAGATGCAGTAGCAGTAGAAATAGCAGTAGCAGTAGCAGTAGTACTAGTAAAAGTCATAGTAATAATAGTAATCTAATGGAAGTAGCAGCAGCAGCTGCAGTTGTACTAGGAGTAGGAGTAGGAGTAGTAGTAGTAGTAGTAGTAGCAGTAGTAGTAGCAGTAGTAGTAGTAGTAGTAATAGAATCGGTCTTTCATATTGGCATTTGTTGTGGCGTGACTGGGTAGTAGTCGTAGTAGTAGTAGTAGTAATAGAATCGGTCTTTCATATTGGCATTTGTTGTGGCGTGACTGGGTTCGGGTATGGATCGGGTATGGAACGGGTATGGATCGGGGTATGGATCGGGACACGCTATCTGGGCCGGCTTTCCCGCTATGGCTGTGAAGGAAGAGAACGGGGTATTTCTAGTCTGGTCTAGTTCTACACGTGCCAGGCAAAGCAGAAACAGAAGGAATTGTAATCATAGCGCCACTATAGAAGTACAAGAAGCACCTAGTGGAACTAGAACCAGTCTTACTAGCGTCCAAGGTGCACTTGCAGTATTGCTAGTAGCTAGTCAACTAGTTGCATTTGTCCAACTACCAGAAGCACACGGAGGAAGCGAATCAGCACCAGCAGCGGGAGCAGGACCAGCAGGAGCAGCAGCAGGAGCGACAGCAGTAGCAGCAGCTCCTGGGAGGAAGATGACTAGTAGTGGCAGCAGCAGCAGCAGCAGCAGCACGGAGGCAACGGAGGCAACGGAGGCAACGGAGGCAACGGAGGCAACGGAGGCAACGGAGGCAACGGAGGCAACGGAGGCAACGGAGGCAGCAGCGGAGGCAGCGGAGGCAGCAGAGGCAGCAGTAGAAACAACGGTAGTAGCAACGGGAGTAGCAGTACGAGGACCAGAAGTAGTATTAGGATAAAAAGCAGCATTAGGGCCAGCATCAGTCTTTCTTCAACGAGAAAGGGGTACGGATCAAGGGTATGGATCAGGGGTATGGATCTCGGGTATGGATCACGCAGTATCATGGGGTATGGATCGGGGTATGGATCATGGAGTATGGATCGTGTGTGGGCCCGGGACCTTGATCCATGCTTTGTATTTTTAACCGCATCCATATATATATATATTACATATATTATATGTACATATTATGTAGATTATTCTTGCGTAGATTATAAAATAATGTTTGATTTGCTACTTCACTCTGATACACGTACAAGCATTTGATTTGGAAAAGGCAAGCCTCGATTTTGAATACACTCCCAGTGGGGTTCAGAAGAAGTCGGGTTCCAAAGTTGATGGCTATAATCACTGGTGAAGTGCCCGGTTCAAAAAGGGGCGAATCCTTTCAGCAACATTGGAATAAGTGAACTCGCGGGAATAGTTGAATCCCCTTCTGAAACATAGATGTACCAATTAGAACTGGCACAAGTAGATCACTTTAAACTTTATACAGTTTATACAGTAGATGGTTGTCAGATCAATGGTGAATCGCAGTTGAAGTACTGTACAATTACTGTACAATCTGGCAATCTACTGGACAGCATTGCTGTTGTATCCCCAAAATGTATTGATACCCGCAACGAATGTGTGATTGCAGAAGAACAATACACCCTGAAAATAGAACCGTTGAATGCCAAGAATGACAGGTAGAACATGGCAGAACACTACTCTACATTCGGTCAGTCCTAAACACGTGCAAAACATCAGTAAAACAGTAAACAAATGAACAATGATATAAAACATATATAAAACATATCCATAATCCGCCGACCCCTGCCGACAGCAGGGGGAGCGCGTCAGAGAAGAGATTACAAGCAACAAGTGTTGTGCAGTGCAAGTGAGGGGCAAGCGAGGGGGGGACAGAAAGGGAAGCATCCCCATTTTGTAAGAAGCCCAAAAAAGGAAGCGAGAAAGGAGGGGCAGTCTCAGCGAACGTAGCGGGGCAAGCGAGGGGGGGACAGAAAGGGAAGCCAGGTGCAGAGTAAGAAGCGATGGCAAGGAAGCGAGAAAGGAGGGGCAGTCTCAGCGAACGTAGCAAGCGAAAGAAGCACGAAACAAGAAGTTAGAAGCAAGAATGCAGAAGCAAGAGTAAACGAGCGACAGAAAGTAATGTCACTATTAAACACTACTCGGGCCGCGGGCCCAATCCGTCCTTCACTGCCATGGTGTTTTAGCCCTGCGAGGAGGTCCCTTGACCGGAGCTGTGCCGCACGAAAGCCAGCTGTCAGACAATGCAGGCAAGTTGGCAGGTGGCAGTGCAGGAACGCAGGGAAAAGCTAGGTTTGAGCTGCAAGACGACGCAGGCAAAGTGGCAGGGAAAAGCAACCTTTCTTTACCCCTTGACCTTGAAGGGAAACTGGCCTGGAGTCTCCACTTCGATATTACCGGACCAAGGCCGAAACAGGCCACTGATCATGGGGATTCAACCCTTGTGGCGACCCCGTCACGAAATGTTAAGATTTGAAGCCCATGAATCCCAATCCATCCCTACGTTCTGGTAATTTAACAGTTTGCGAACTTGAACATGGCCATAGAAATCCTTGATTTATCTACTAAAATTTGGGATTTTCCAGTTCGCTATGTTAAATTACCAGAGGCTAATCCCCATGTAAAATGTGGTTGTTGCTGGTGAAACTTCGCCCTCAACAACCCCAACCCTTCTTTGGGTCATTAAATGGGGGTGCGTCACTGGAGATATATCATGGGATATACCATAGGATATATCATAGGATATATCATAGGATATCCATATGATCATACATCATATAACATCATATAACATCATATAACATCATATAACATCATATAACATACTATAACATCATATAACATCATATAACATCATATAACATCATATAACATCATATAACATCATATAACATCATATAACATCATATAACATCATATAACCATAAACATAGGCGTATGACATATAAGATATATAATCATGGGAATAATCAGCACCATTGATTCGATTCCCCGACTTTCGGCCTGTCGAGAAGTCTCGATGTGCCTCAACGCTTCCAGTCATGGGATGGTTCAGCTGTGGCCAAGCACGAGCGGTTTCATCAGATTTCATCTATGATTTATCCTACATGTTTTCCTAGATGTTTGATACTTAAAACATCTGGAAAAAAACTTTAAACTCCAGAGAACCAGAAATGAAACCCCTAATTATAATGGATGGTTCGAGTATGTTAGAGTAAATCCCAAAAAAAATCCCATGAAAATCCCATTAAAACTTCCCATGTCTAATGGCTCACTAAAAGGTCATGTTAGGCCCCCAATGCCACCACGGCACATCATGGCACAGTAAATTCGAGGGCCCGTATGACGGCCCACCGAGCTCGATGGGGCGACTGATACCTCATGGCACAGAGATATCACGGGTCCCGTCATGTCTAAATATTGGTTGGTTTCCTAAAATGGGAGATCCCCAAAATGGTTGGTTTATAATGGACATATATATATATATAACTATAAATGACCTTAAGTAGGAAGTTATTCCCACATATCATATATTTGTATTCGAGTAACAGACTACGGTTCACAACATTCTGTCCATCAAATATCATAAATATCAGCAGAACATACAATAACTGATCTTAACTTCCCCCTTTTTATAGTCCATTTCTATTCCTGTAAAGTGGCTGTGATTACCCTCACAACCATTGGTTGTTAGTTCAATCCCCTTGTATGCCCCAAAAAAGTTGCGTTTAACCATTAAACAGTTGGCTTAATGGAATACTAATGGGGATACAATAGGATTACATAAGCAACTATTTTAGAACCAACGGGAAAGTAAAAATGATCATATTGCTAAAAGTATCCATAGTTGCCACGGTACTATTGAGTATACTATATATATATAAATGTTCATATATTAGATAGATTTTACTACACTGTATATATATATTATAGACATCTACAGGTTCTACTATACAACTATACTCTATATACTACAATATATACCGGAATTGAAGGTATAATATGAATATATATATAGGTATATACATAATACACATATATATATATATGTTACATATACATGATATATCTTTATAGCTACTTAGATTACATGTTATAGTAGATATTACTATTCATAGCACAAGGTTGAAGGATTAAACTACTCGTCCAACGTTAATCTACCATAGAATCATTGCTGATATTGCTTCCTACCATTTAATATTCTATGGAGGTATCACCATATTATGATGATTTATGCCATTCTAGTTAAAGCCCATATATCATGGTGATATCCGCATAGAATGAAAACTATCCATTAAAAAAAATGTATATCCACGGTATATTATCAAAGATATCTATAGATTCTACTATACTATAGACTAATTATAGAGTCTATTTATCGTGTATATATATATGTATACATATATATGAAGCTACGATGCAAGCGCTATATTTATCTATAATATATACATGATATACTATAAATATATATGTACACAATAACACTATACTATATAAAACCTACTTTACGGTAAAGTATAGACATGTATAGGTTCTACCATACTACTATATCTCCTCATACACTATCTACACTATATGTGCATATATATATATACATATATATATATATGTCACTTGAAGCTGTAAAAAAAAAAACATTATGTATATATATCCAAAATACATATACTCATACCGGTTGGTATAACCCCATGATATCTGTAATAGTTTATAGTTTATATATATATATATTAGACAATCAACGTATGATATTGTAGATATAGATACAGGTATACATATATATATATATAATCAATATCAAATATATCCATAACAAGCATCCATTCTCCATAGATAAAAGTATATCAATATATCAATATATCAATATCCAATCAATACATCCAATATATTACAACTTCATTATCTCCTATAGATTCTACTATAGACTCATAGATTGTATCTATCATCTATATATGGCTTAGTCTGAAAATAGGGTCTCTTAAATCCACTGGTTCATCATCATTGTTCCTCTTAAAATGCTATAGTGGGGGATATACTTCAATTTTACACACGCCCAGATATACATGATACACACTCTATATATATATATACATATTGCATCTATAGATTTTACTATACTAAAGACAAATATAGAAGATAATCACATTATAATAGATATAGACATTTGTTCATATGAGGGTACCATGATAATTCACCCGTTATTACGGGTGTTCCATGAAAAACCATCCATTAAAATACATATATCTGGGTAAATTATAATATTTCACCAACCTTAATTGTTCGGCAAAATACATATTCCTCTCATTAACCATGATTCCCGGGTTCGATCGCAGTGAGGTCGTTACAATTTACCAACCAGAAAAAGAAAAAATGTTCCAAACCACCAACCAGATACATTGGTAAGAGATGTATATTCTATGTTAAACTGTTTCCAAAGATGTTGTTCATACATTCCCATCATATATCATTACAACTAATATCATCTGGTTATTTAACATAGCCATGGAAAATCCCTCATAAATGGAGGTTTCGTTCGCTGGGAAAATCATCTATTTCTATGGGCCAATTTCCAGTTCGCTATGTTAAATAACCAGAACTAATAGATCAAATAATAATCAACCAATATATCAAATATATCTATAATAGATACCCTCTGGTAAACTAACATAGCTATGGAAAATCACCATTCAAAATAGGTAGATCAACGAACTAAATGGACCAATTTCCATAGTTATGTTAGTTTACCAGAGGGTAATCAACCACCATATATCAACTAGTTCCCACCAACCAGAGCTTCACTTCGCGCCTGCGCCAGGCGCAGCTGATTCGCCAGACTCATGGGCCCTGCATCAGGCTGCGTCAGCAGCGCCGCCAGCAGGGCCAAGGACGCCACCAGCGCGCTGCTCCAGCCTGGATGAGGGTTAAGCCTGGGAAAACCATGGAAAATGCCAACAAAAATGGGATTAGTTGAGGTGATTTAGAAACCATATATATATACTATATTATATATATATAAATATGATTTTATATAATTGGGATATAATGGGGATATGCTTGGGATATGATTGGGATACTGGGATGAATGACAGGTTGAAGCCTGAAACATCATGAAAAATCCAGCTTTGTTGTACCTGAAAAGCTCGTTTTTTAATATATAGTTTGATGATAACATATCAAGGTGGTGCCGCGGTTTGTTGGCTAAGTTGGTTGAACTATCTAGTTTAAATTTTGGTTATGGTAATGAATTAACTTTAGTTAGATGGATAAACAATGATAAACATAGGCCAACTAGTAACTTAGTGATGTGCCACGGTGCAGTTTGAATGCATACTTCTAGATTTTTGTAGAGAAATATCATGAAATATCTAGTTTGTAATTGAACATGAGTTTTAATGGTGAATGTGTTGCTTTTGAAGCTGAAACAGTGGATAAATGACCATGCTGAAACAGGTTGAAACCGTGTGGGTGTTTATCATTGCTTACAAACGATACGTCCAAGGCTAGCCCATTTAACCGAAAGTGTTGGACATCCAGCGATACTATCTCCACACAACGTCATCGACAGCCAGAGATAGATCATACATTTACATGTGATTGTGTGTCTGGAAACATATATACACACATACAAAAATAATCAAACATATCTATCGATTCGATATATATGTATGTTACATACGCATTGAAATATATACACATATGTGCCATGTGTAACATATATGATATCACATTCTTGCATGAATGCGTGTCGATTAGTGTATAGTGATTCATAGATGATTGGACAAAAAAATATCCCATTGTTTGTATCCCACTATTGCTTGATTACAAAGTGACCCACAAGCAACTGCTATCAACCGCTGAAATCCCCACGGGACCAAAACAGTGGCCTGTGGGGCAAATCCCAATTTCTACTGGGTGAAATTTGCCCCCCTTACCCTCTGGTAAGCATACAAAAAACTATGGAAAATCACAATTTTTAATGGGAAAATCCATTATAAATGACCATTTTCAATAGCTATGTTAAAGTACCAGAGGGTATTTTGTTTGAAAGCTCCGGCTTTGTTGGTGCAATGCTTGCTGGTGAAGCATGCGCATGATGTTTTGGCCAATCTCTCTATATCTTCTTGGGTGAATCCCCATATGCTTGGTGAATACACCCTGAATCTGTCGCCTGTTTTAATTCAACTGCAGCTGAATTATACAAGCCTCTTCCCGCAGGTACACGTCATATATCGTAATATCCCATATTGATATGCTCTTCGCTGGTCAATATCCTCACTGAATCCTCACTGCTGCTAAATATCCCTTTCCATATTGGTGGCTGTTCTGGGCAAACTGGAGATAGGTCAATGCCACCATCTTGCGATGTTTGGGGTGATCTCCATTTGCCAGCGATTTTGGCCATCATTTGGTGCTTCATCCTAAATAAGTAGACTACACTTGGGGGGCCGGCGATCCTCCACAAGCAGGACTGGGACTGGAACTTTTTCTACAGGGTTTCAAGTTGCCCTCTGGTAATTTAACGTTTTTAATGGGCAAATGCTTGAACTAAATGGGGCTATTTTACACATATAATTATATGTTAGATGTATATCCAGTATTTCACACATATAACTAAATGGGGCTATCTCAACAGCTTCTGAATTCCAGTATATCCATAGATTCCCCATTGATTCATTCCGGCCTATGGCCGAAGACCGCACCAGAGCACTGCCGAAGAACTCGCGGAGGCGTTTGAGAAAACCCATGCCATGATAACAACGTTTGGTTTTCAAGCGGAGATCAACGATATAGACATATATAGACTATAGATGATATAGACAAAAGAAACACACGATGTGAGTGGATATGAAACTTCGAGTGAAATGGGGTTTTCCATGGTTTTCCCGCCACACATTTTGGACCTGGGGTTTTCCCTGGGAGATGTTTTGAGAAGTTTCCGCCATCACCGTTACCCAGTTGATCCGATCGATCCTTTGGGGATCATCCAAGCAGCGCCTTTTTCTGGGGCTGAAGCTAATTATATAGTTATCCCCAAATAGATGGAATTTATGGGGAAAAGTAAATCAATCAATCAAATTATAGTGAAAATAGAATAACATAGATCATTATCCCCTTAAATATAGGATAATTACTAAAATCCATCTATTTTGGAATGACTGTACAAAAAATCGTGGGTGATCTCTTCCGCTTAAATTCGTGAACACGATTTCCTGGAGTTCGCTTTATATCAAAATATGGGGGGTTCCTATGGAGGTACCCCAATAGCTGGATGGTTTATAAAGGAAAATCCCAAACAAACATGGATGATAATTGGGTGTACCCCCATTTCAGGAAACCTCCATATCAACATATGGTGGTTTCCTAAAATCTGGCTACCCCAAACAATTCAAAACATTGGTGTTTTCCCATTGATCATGAGCAATTTTGAATGATTTGGGGGTACCTCCAGTTTAGGAAACCCCCACATCGTGATGTTTATGATCATCTTGGCTAAGCAACGTCAGCGAACACCCCATATTATATGGATTGAACATCATTGAACAATGATTAACCTCACGTGCTATTGTCCGTTGCTTCTGTGCTTTGTGCAAACACACTTTCAACAACCGACACGACCCAGGAAGTGAACAGTTGTTGATTCGTGGGATGGTAAAGATCTCATTATTTCTCTGTTTGCCTGGTTGTTTGTTTCTTTTGTTGTTCCAACTCCCTTCTTTGTTGGTTTAGTCCCCATGTTTGCTGGTTAAACTGCCTGAAAATCCCATGTGTCTTAGCTCAAAATCCCGATCCATGTTGGGTGACCTCTCCAACACTTGTGCTGGTTGAATCACCAGTTTCGTTTGTGAAATCACAACTAGTTGTTGATTAAACATGATAATATAAGCATAACGGGTTACCCTCTGGTAAACTAACATAACTATGGAAAATCACCATTTTTAGTGGGAAAATCCACTATAAATGGCCATTTTCAATAGCTATGTTAAATTACCAGAGGGTATATCATGTCAATTTCGCTGGCACAATTCCAATATGTTTTCATGTTTAAACCATCATTTGGGTGCATCTGAAAATTGGGTATACCCATCACATAAGCATGGTAGTGAGTTTTGCTTTAATTCATCGTAGAATTCTGGGGTACCCTACAACAAGATACGATGCGCTATTGATGGGCTATATCATGCTATCATATCATATTTGGGAAGCAAAATGGCCCAGTTATAGTTGATTTACCCTCTAAAAATGATGATTTTCCAGTTCGCTATGTAAACGTTTGCCACATCCAATCTTCACTGGTTAAACTATGATGCTGGTTTGTCTGAAAATGGGGCATGTCTAAATTCGACTGGTGAAAAACACCATATTCCCTAAACTGCCACCCAAAGATCACAAAAATTGTTGCTGAGTTCTCTCAATATATCTTATCCCGTTTGTAGCCCCATCATACATCCATGTTTGTTGGTTAAATCATGTTAAATTCCCTATTTAGGGGTGTAGCTCCAGCTAATAAGTGGATATAAATCAAACAATTGTAGGGCCTCTTTGCCAACTTGTGGAAGTTCTCACCGTTATATCAAATTATAGCCATGGGTATCACCATAATTATCAATGGCATCAGTGATATCAGTTCTTTTCAAACTATATCAAATTATAGCATACAGACAGTGAATATACCAACTTGTACAAATACACCTTTATACAAATAGTTTCTCACCATTAAAGTTAATCTTGATTTATATCATCCCTTATAGTTTATAGTTATATAATTAGTTATATCACCCAAAACCCCATCCTGTAGCCTCTTCGTCCTTGGGTTTTTCTGGCACCAGATGCCACAGCAGCAGCGCCAAGATGACGGCCACAACGATGTCCACAGAAAGGTGGCTTCGACTTTGGACCTGGATGGCAGGATGTTTTGGGCTGAAGTCGTCAATTTTATATATGTACATAAATCAACAATATATATATATATATGTGTTGTACATATGTATATATATATATATATATTCCCAACAGTTACTGCGAAGGGTTCCTTCCAAACAGCGACCGCCAATGATCATGTTTATATTCATCCTCTTCGTCTTCTTCATCATGATCATCATAAATGACACCAGCACCGTCTATCATAAACATCATCCTTTGGAAGCAACCCTTCCCGTGTGTGACTTGTCTTTGGAAGAACATTTGATGTTTCCTTTCGGGCCACACTGTCGTCTAGTGGGTATCAAAACATGTGTATATGTGTGTGTAAATATATAACACTTATAACACCTAAATTTAAATATAAACATGTATATATGTGTATATTTAAACATAGTTGACTGTATATTATGTGTATATATATATGTACATTGCTATATGTATGTAAAAATGTATGTATATATATATGTATGTATGTATGTATGTATGTATGTATGTATCGATTTGTGTATATGAATAAATATATGTAGATCATGTCATGTATCTAGATGTGTATGAAATATGAAATCGTACTGCAAGTAGATATTAAACACCTATAGTCCTATAGTTGAGACCCATTGCTGGGGGAGAACTAACCCCAGCTACTCACAATGGATTCATAGGGTGACCCATGCAACCCACTGAGTGCCCATGCAATGCGCAACGACGCATGAAGCACTCGACCTCGCTGTCACCATAGGGTGGATGCAACATTGAATCCACACTTCAAATGGCTTTGGAAAGGGTTGTCTTCTATTTGAGACTGATAATATCTGATAATGTTGTTGTATTCCCTAAAGTTGGAAGGTCACGATCGAGTTTATTTGGAGGAAACAGAAGTGTCACACCTGGCACATCAAAGTTTTGGCGGGATTGAATCTCCCTGCCCATCCAATGTAGTAGCTGATCATCGTCATAAATCCTTAAATGAGATCATTTTGCATCATCTCTAATAGGGGTCTGAAAAAAACACCCTGTCTATTCAGATAGATATTCTCGGTGGTAAATCCAATCGTAAAGCATCCCATCAACCAAAAGTAGGGGATCATCTTGAAATCATCCCAAATATGTAGAGGTATGCCTAATTATAAACCTCAGTTGGAGACGGTTGTCATGGGGTTTGGATCAAGCAATGATGTAAGCGGTCAGTAATCAAGTGAAGAGAAACGTACTTGAGATTTAAAACCCAGGGAGATTGTTGGGAAGTACCATCAATGAATGTTTATTGGCTGTAAAATACCCCCGGCCAAAATCATGACATTTGAAGGAGCGGAGAAGCCACCTGATTTTCTTCGCCGTTTTGGGATAGTTAGCCCCAAAAGAAGCTGGACACCGCTCGTGAGTTCTCAGTGAGGTCGTTGCAATGTATGGTAAATGGATGATACAATGTGGGGCCCCCTAGATAGCTAAGTTGGTTTATAACTCCAATAACTATGGTTTATTGCACTCATAACTATAGTTAATGGGGCTTATAAACCAACATTCACATCACTGGGGGGCCTCACATTGTACCCTCTTCTAAACTCACACAAATAGAACTATGGAAGCCAAATGGACCAGTTCGATAAAAAAACCTATTATATCCATGGTGATTTTTCTCCATAGCTATGTCAGTGGTTGGCGAGTTTGAGTAAAATGCAGTGGTTGCGAAATCCTGCGAGGGGTGAAGCGTTCATCCCCACATCAGGAGTGGCTTGCCTCCCCTCTCCCCTTCCCCGTGGATCCCAACACCAGAGAAAGCTCTGAAGCCATCTGCTGGCGCCAAAGTCCTCGGTCTGGAGAGGCCAGTGATGTCATCGCCCCCGGCCTGGTCAACGTTTACGTTTAACTAATCGGTAAATCACCATGCTATTCATTGGTAAATCAAGTATTTAACTATGGCAATCTTCAATAGCTGTGCTAGTTTACCAGGGGCCATCCCAAATGTCCTGGAGAAAAATCGCTGCTTCATCCATGTTAATATTGTTAATCCCATCATTCTTCGGGATAAATTACCCTCTGGTTATTTAACATAGCCATGGAAAATGGTCCATTTAAAGATGGTTTACCTATTAAAAATGGGGATTTTCCATGGCAAACTGTTAGTCATAACCAGAGGGTATGATAAATTGCCCTCCGGATCCGCGAATCAAAGGTGGCTGACTGGAGAATCCCAGCTAGGTGAAATCATGCCACGGATGGATCAGCTGGGAGATCCCTGTGCCATGTGGTTTTGGAAATACTCATCCCAATACAACTAAGGATATCATAGGATATCATAGGATACCTATACTATATGTTTTTAGCTAGGGAAATACTCAACTTTTTGGTGGTCATGTTTAGCTAACTTTTTTATGGCCAAGGATCTTGGTACAGCAAGACGCAGAAGGTCAAGACCGAAGCATGTCCTCAGAACTTGGTTGACCATGTGACCCTCATACTTTTCTTGGGGTCCCAAGTTGGGAAAATTAATATAAAGGGCTAACACAACCTCTAAAAATATGGGGGGAATTCTTCTGGAAATGCACGAAAACTTGGACAGAATTTTAGGGTCATAACCCAGTGATAAACTGGTTGGGATGCTCCTGTGATGGGCAGTTGCTGAGTTGCTAATCATCATCACTAGGCACCTGCCAGGTGCGAAAATCAGAAGCATCCATGGCGCGAAAGGGTGAAGTCATGTGGAGAAGAATAGGGTGGGTCAGCAGTTCAGCGCGAAATCAAATATGTTTGAATCATATCACATCTATCCTGAAATTCAAAAAACCCTTTGCCAATTGAGAACTTTAGAGAACCATGGCCCTACACCTCAAACATGCAAGATTTACATCACATCACGTGGGATATGAAATTCCAGTCTCCATCAAGGTGGCCCAGTGGCATAGAGCCATGCACCTGTTTCATTCATGAAGTGGGAACACAGATCCAAACATCCCAAATTCACCTGGAAAATGTTTGGAGATATGATGAGTTACTATGAGTTAGTTTTGAAATTGAGCGGTGTTCAAGCTACTCTCTGTCATCCCTTGGTTAAGAACGGGATTCCCAGGGACATGTATTATGATTATGATATATTATGATCATCACCAAAATAGTATAGTATGGATAGCGATAGGATATTAGCACCAAGATGATCATGGAACATTGATGATACAATAGTGATATACTATATCAATATAGTACTATTGGTGATATCATAAGACAATAGTATATCATACATACAAGATGTACTATAGACTGATAAATAGACTAAGTACTATACTATCTATTGATATCAAGATAATATTAATCTGACTAGAAATATTGATATCATAATATTGTCCATACCATACCATCTATTGGTGATATCATAAGACTATAGTATGGATAATGATATCACCAATAGATGGTATAGTTTAATATAGATCTATTTCTAATAGTATTGGATACTTAATGATATCACTATAGTATAGTATATTATATCATATACATAATATATTATATCAAAACTATTATCATTATTATACCATACTATACCATAATATTATCCATACTATCATACAATATATCTATAGCTCCCTTTTTCCATGGGACCATTGTTTTTCACCGATGAGTTTGCCAAGACTCCGCTGAAGATCAAGTCGTTGCAGCCACCCCCTGGCAGGCCACGGCAGGGTGCTGGCGAACTTAGCCGCTTAGCCGCTTCGTTTTGTTGGGTTTATATCTCAACTTATGGGGGGATTATCACCGTAATTGTATATTATATATATATATTATATATATATGTATAACTAACTATTAATAGTAACACCTGCGCCTCCAAGTAGTAAAAGAAGGCTTTTGAAGACAGAAAGTCTTGGTAGGTTTTGGACGTCCAATGATATGGGCCCCTTTGAGAGAGGGTCCAATGATATTGGCCTTCCGAACCCCTGGGAAGGTGGGAACTAGGTCCAAGAGGCAAGACTAAGACTAAGTAGGAGGAAGCATGCAAACAACATCAACACCAACACCAACAACATAAAACGACATTTTAAAACAATGAACGAACCTAAACCATGCCATAAAGCAACATAAAACAAGATGAACAAACGTGAAACATCATGAAAAAACTGAAATCATGTTTCTGAGACAACCATACTGCATGAGATCGCATGAGTGCTGAAAATTGGGTGACATCCCCAAAAAGTCGATTTCTGTTTTCTCCCCCCAAACATGATCATAGTGGGGGCTCGAACGCGCAAATCAGCGGAGGACCATCCCACCTTCGTCACTGTTCATGGCGATAGCGATCTGGATAGCGATACCATTTGGGGATGAAGATCCAGAAATCCCAGCTATTTTGGTGTTCACCATGATGGTCACCATGATGGTCACCATGATGGTCACCATGATGGTCACCATGATGGTCACCATGGCTAGGAAGTTTTCTTACCTGTAAATGGGGTCACCGCAGTTATCAGTTCTCCCGACCTGCGCGCATGTGCGTCACAGCTTCTCGCCAATGTTCCGCCAGGCTATAGGTTTCGTCATAGCGGTTGACCTTGTTGACCCCTGAGAGATGTCGAAAGGAAATAATTTTCGGATCTACCCGGCCTGGTAAACGTTAACAAAAAAATATGGAAAATCACCCATTTTAATAGGCAAATCAACTATTTCTATGGCCATGTTCAATAGAAAACTGCTAGTTTACCAGAGGGTAGTGGAGTTTTTCCATCAAACCACAAGGTTTTCTCAACACCCATGGGTTGCTTTATTGGGGGCTACCTGTTTACTAGCAGATTATCTTCATTTGGGGGTAACACCCTAATTAATTTATCAACTGGGGTCAACATTAATCCCAGGTTGACATTGTTGATCCATATCCCACTATACATCCACATCAAGTCTCCCATTATATATTGTTGGTTACCCTCTGGTAAACGTTTACATAACTAATCGGAAAATCAACATGCTATCAATGGGTAAATCCACTATTTCGACTGGGCCATGTTCCAGTTCGCTACTTGGTGGCTCATCCCACTTAGTAAGTGGGTTATAACCCCAGTTATAAGTGGATTAACCCTACAAAAATCCCATTTATAACTGGGGTTATAACCCACTTACTAAGTGGGATGAGCCACCAAGTATGTAACAAATCACCAGGCCGGGTACCCTCCGATAATTCAATCGATTGCTATGGAAGGGCCCATCGAGTTCGATCCAAGTCATAGTGATGACTTGACCAATGCCGTCCATGACCATGGCGGCTACCCGGCCTGGTAAACGTTTACAGTTTGCGAACTTTTTATCATGGCCCAGTCGATTTATAGTTGCTTTTCCCATTAAAAAAATGGTGATTTACCATATAAATCACCATTTTCCCATGGTTTTCCAATGGTTTTCCCATTAAAAGTGGTGATTTTCCCATCAAAAATTGTGATTTTCCATCGTTTTTTGTATGTTTACCAGAGGTCAATCCAGTCAATCCCATGATTCCAAAGCAAATTCCAAAAAACTCCACGTGTTTTTCATGATCAACATGGGATACATTTCCATGGAGATATCAAATGAAAAAAAACATGGAAATATCATGGGAATATCATGGGAATATCATGGGAATATGACTTAAATGATAGGGAGATTAAATAGATATCACTAACATGGGACATGGAAATCATCATAGAAATCTCCCGATTTCATTTAAGTCATATTCCCATGATATTCCCATGATATTCCCATGATATTCCCATGATATTCCCATTCTTCCCATCTCCATGTCTCACGTCCAATCCCCACGCTGTCATTTTCGCCGCGGGGCGAAACAGCCAGGATTCTGCGAAGGCATCACCTCTGTGGGACGCATGGAATTTTTGCGACCATAACTCTAATATGTACGTAGGTAATCGTAGGTAGGTATGCAATGTGCCCATGGTTTTTATTGTGATTAATAGTGGTTTATAGTGGTTAAACTAGTGGTTAATACCTGATCTAATGAATAATATATCTGGTTGTGCATGTATGATTGTGCATCTATATGTGCATGTATAATACGTATATGCAATTATATGCATATATGCACAACTGGGTCGTGTTCTTGTTGCCCGAGAGGGTGATTGGATGCCATATGCAACAATAATGAGAACAGGAGAGGACTTGACGCGATTTAACCAACAAACTTGTGTTGATCACCAAAACTTGGGTTTGACGAAGGAACTTCAAATAAAATTGGGATTGGGGGTTGCTGGGGAATTCTCTTCATCCCATTTGGGGAATATTCAGCTGGTCGGTTTTTTTTGGGTTCAAATGGGAAAACATCGGGACGTTTTGGGAAAAAGGCCATTTTTCTTGGGGGATTTTTCAACCCAAGCCCTGGCATCATGGCATGGAGTCCCACAGTTCTGGCCTCATATCCCAACTATTCCCAACTTCGGGTGTGTATCAGACTATGTTTATACCATTAAAAAAAAAAACTCAACTGTGCCCCCAAAGTATTGAGCAACAAGCATGGTAATCCCATTGCTATATCAATGACCATTTCAGGTACCTTTTTCCCGAATGCGTAGCAAGGGTTCCCGTTTCACTCTGGGGGTCTGGGGGTTGAGGGTGTGTTCGCTCGACGTTGCGTTCACGGTCGCAACCGTTCGCAACCGTCCGCAACCGTCCGCAACCGTTCGCAACCGTTCGTACGAGGTCCGTATGGCCGTGCCTATGGGAAGTTTTGCAGAGGTGGTTATTTTTGGGGGTTTCGGACGTGTCGTTGCTTCGTTTCGCGTGGCAGGCGTGGCACTTTGTGACATTCAGACGTGTTTTGCAACGTGTTGAAAATCGTTTTGCGTGGCAGGCCCAATACTTTTGTGACGTTTTTAGAAGATGTGTTGCAGTTTTCGTGGCAGGCGCAGCACTTTGGACGTGTCCATCGTCATTTTTCGTGGCAGGCGCAGCACTTTAGACGTGTCATGTTGCGTGTTTTTTGCAAATCGCATTGGCAGGGCTGCGTCAAGTGGCGACAAGGTGCAAATTCCGTGGCAGGCATGGCATTTTGTGCGATGCGTTGAAAATTGACGGAAGCCTCGCACGAAACATCGATTTTGAGGTTGCCAATTTTCACGTTCTAAGGAAAACTCGTAGGAAAACGTCGATTTTGAAGCTACAAAGTGTGAAAATTAGAGGAAGTCTCGCACGAAATGCTCGTTTTGGCGCTCCCACGTGTCTCTTCTCGCGTGTCTGGTTTTCCCGTGGCCTCGCCGTGTCTATGGGGGAAGCTGCAAAAGTTGTCTTTTTGTCGTGTTGCCAACTGTGAAAATTGCCGGAAGTCTCGCACAAAATGCTTGTTTTTCTGCATCCACGTGTCTTGTCTCGAGTCGCTTGTTTTTCTGTGGCGTCGCCGTGTCTATGGGGGAAGCTGGAAAACCTGTCCTTTTCGAATGTTTCCAAGCAGGTTGTCATGTTGTTTTGCGTGGCAGACGTGGCGCTTTTTGACATTCCAACCTGTTCGATTATGTGTCAAAAATGTCAAAATTGGATGAAGTCTCGTACGAAATGCTGGTTTTTCTGCATCCACGTGTCTCGTCTCGAGTCGCTGGTTTTCCTGTGGCGTCGCCGTGTCTATGGGGGAAGCTGGAAAACATCTCCTATTCGAATGTGTCCAAGCAGGTTGTCATGTCGTTTTGCGTGGCAGGCGTGGCCCTTTGTGACATTCCAAACTTGTTTGATAACGTGTCGAAAATATCAAAATTGGAGGAAGTCTTGCACGAAATGCTCGTTTTTTTGCACCCACGTGTCTCGTCTCGAGTCTCTGGTTTTCCTGTGGCGTCGCCGTGTCTATGGGGGAAGCTCCGCGCTCCACACTCTACACTTTACACTCCACACTCCACAATTTACACTTTAGACTCCACTCTCCACACTTTACACTTTACACTCCTCACTCCACACTCTATACTCCACACTCCACACTTTACACTCCACACTCCACACTCTACACTTTCCACTCCACACTCCGCACTCCAACACTCCACACTTTACTGTCCACACTACCACACTCCACACTTTACACTCCTCACTTTACACACCACACTCCACACTCTACACTTTACGCTCCACACTCTTTACACTCTACACACGTTCCACTCCAGACTCCACACTCTACACTTTACGACTCTACACCACTCTACACTCCACACTCTACACTTTTCCACACTCCACACTCTACACACCACACTCTACACACTCCACTCACACTCCACACTGCACTTTACACTCCACACTCCACACTTTACACTCCTCACTCCACACTCTACACTCCACACTCCCCACTTTACACTCCACACTCCACACTCTACACTTTCCACTCCACACTCCGCACTCCACACTCCACACTTTACTGTACACTCCACACTTTATACTTTACACTCCTCACTGCACACTTTACACTCCTCACTTTACACACCACACTCCACACTCTACACACCACACTCTACACTTTCCACTCCAGACTCCACACTCTACACTTTACGCTCCACACTCCACACTTTACACTCCACACTTTACACTCCACACTCCACACTTTGCACTTTACACTCCTCACTCCACACTCTACACTCGACACTCCACACTCTACACTTTACACTCCACACTCCACACTTTACACTCCACACATCACACTCCACACTTTCCACTCAACACTCCACACTTTACACTCCACACTCCACACTTTACACTCCTCACTCCACACTTTACACTCCACACTCCACACTCCACACTCCACACTTTACACTCCACACTTTACACTCCACACTCTACGCTTTACACTCTACACTATACACTCTACACTCCACACTTTACACTTTACACTCCACGCTTTCCACTCTACACTCCTCACTCGACACTTTACACTCCACACTTTACACTCCACACTCCACACTCTACACTTTAGACTCCACACTCCACACTTTATACTTTACACTTCTCACTCCACACTCCACACTTTACACTCCTCACTTTACACACCACACTCCACACTCTACACACCACACTCTACACTTTCCACTCCAGACTCCACACTCTACACTTTACGCTCAACACTCCACACCCCACACTTCACACTCCACACTTTACACTCCACACTCCACACTTTACACTCCTCACTCGACACTCCACACTTTACACTCCACACTGCACACTTTACACTCCTCACTCCACACTCCACACTTTACACTCCTCACTCCACACTCCTCACTTTACAATTCACACTTCACACTCCACACTTTCCACAACACACTCCACACTTTAAACTCCACACTCCACACTTTACACTCCTCACTCCACACTTTACACCACACTTTAGACTCCACACTCCACACTCTACCCTCCACACTTTACACTCCACACTCCACACTCTACACTTTACACTCTACACTAAACACTCTACACTCCACACTTTACACTTTACACTCCACGCTTTCCACTCTACACTCCTCACTCGACACTTTACACTCCACACTTTACACTCCACACTCCACACTCTACACTTTAGACTCCACACTCCACACTCTACACTCCACACTGTACACTCCACACTCCACACTCTACACACCACACTCTACACTTTCCACTCACCACTCCACACGCTACACTCTACACTCCACACTCTACACTCCACACTCTACACTTTACACTCTACACTTTACACTCTACACTTCACACTCTACAATTTACAAACTCCACACTCCTCACTCCACACTTTACACTCCTGACTCCTGACTTTACACTCCACACTCCTGACTTTACACTCCACACTCCTCACTCCACACTTTACACTCCTCACTTTACACTCCACACTCCACACTTTGCACTTTACACTCCTCACTCTACACTCTACACTCCACACTCTACACTCCACACTCTACACTTTACACTCCTTACTCCACACTCTACACTTTACACTCCGCATTCTACACTTTACACACTCTACACTCCCCACTCCACACTTTACACTCCACACTCCTTACTTCACACTCCACACTCCACGCTCTGCACTTTCCACTCCACACTGCAGACTGGTAACAAGGGAAACATGTACAAGACTGTTCAAATAAACTATTGCAGAAAGGTATTGTGCGTGACTGCAAAACCATGTGTTTTGACATCTGTACCATTAACATATGTGTGAGCATTCGGGTTCGTGGGCTTCATCTTGTTTTCTTGGAGGTACCTACCATATGTGTGGCCTATTTTTCAGGGCTAAATTTCGACCCCAAAAAATATGAATATGAGCTTGATATGCTGCAGTCACTCCATTTTAGCATGAATTTCCCATAGAGATTATGGAACCCAAGGTGCTGTGCAGCAGTAACACAAGACCCGCAGCAAACGGCAGTAACCTAAGCATTGCAATGTTCCAAACGCCAAAAAGAATTAGCTGCTAAACCCTTTTGGACCCTTGGTTGGTTGATGATTGGCGATGATCAGAATCCATGAACTGGGAATCCCGTTCTTAACCAACCAGAATTGAATGGAATGACATAGGGTTTTGCTGCCACTGCTCAATCGCTGGGATTGATTTTCCGATGGAAGTTCATCGCCGTGTAGCAGTGGTCCAGCAGCCCCAGATGGAAATCATTGAGGAAAGATCATTGAGGAACGTCCTGGAAAAGTTCTTTTGAGATTGCTGCCAGTCCATATCCTCACTGGCTTACATAGACTGGTTGTGATGATCATTGGGTTATGTCTTGATATCTTTTGATCGGTCTTTTTGTGTCCAAAAGCATCAAACACCGTTCTTGTCGGGGGGGTGTCGGTTGGGAACACCATGATCAAAGCTCATGTATTCGGAGCAAGAGGATGGATATGGATGGATTGATTTTCTTCTCATCTCTTAAAACGTCCATCCGAGGAAAGTTACAAGTTACAACTGCCAATTTGGGGCAGGGTCTATGTTGCTTGGAAGTTCCCATCATATTCCATGTTGACCCCGGAATTCAAGAAATTTCAAGCCCCACCAAAAACCTTGACTTTTGGTGGTTTAATCCACAATGTTTGAATCCCAAAACATGGTGATTCCCCTAATTTTCTAACCATCCCCAGTTGCATTTGTTTGTCAATACCTACCCCAAGTTTCATGGTTTATCTTCAATTTCCCCATGAAAATGGCGACATTTTGGATGTAACTTCTGCTCAGGTCCCGCGGTGAAATCCACTGCAACAGTCACTGAAACATGGCTGAAACCCATTCCAATCATTTCCTGGTTGGTGGTTGCCGTGGTTGACCTACCCCCCTGAAAAACATGTGTTCGTCAGTTGGGAAAATCGATTTCCAATACTATTCTATAAATGGGATCCTGATGGTTTATATATATATATACATATTCTATAAATGTTTAATATCTATTTCCAAGTCATAAAATTCATGTTCCAGACCACCAGATTTCAAGTGTCAATGGGATCAATGGGTTGTCGTCAAAAAACTGCCTTGCGAACTGCTATTGCTGTGTTTTTAGCTATTCCAATAATGGGTTGGTAGTGATGCCCTTTCAATAGGTAACTAGAAGCCCAACAGAAACCAATGGGTTTTCTTGAACATGCTCAATTGGCCATAGTCTCATTGGGGTGATTTGTTGATGGATATAACTTAACCATGTTGATAGGCTCAATTAGTCGGGATATGGCCACCCTTTAACTATGGCTGCCCCCAAGGATGCGTACCTTCTGGTAATCTAACATACCAGTAGCTATGGCAATGGAAAAAAAAGCCCCTGTGTAGATGATTTACCAACCCAAAAAATGGTGGTTTTCCATAACTCTGTTAGATTGCCAGGTACGGTATCTCATTTTATCATTTCCCTCCCTATGAATATCCCAATATCCCGTTGAAATCCATGAAAATCGTGTCGCTTTTTAGAGGCTTCATCCTCGCGAGCCTGGCAACACATGGCTCTGGCCAACTTGCCGATCTTCTGCAATGCGCGACCATTGGAGGCGTAGAAGGCGCAGGCTGCGCAGAGATACAGAGCCTCGGAGCTGCCGAGGCTGTTGTTTGGTTAGTTTACCGGATGTTTTTCTCATAACGGATTGTTTTGAACACTGCTCAATTGGGAATATCCTGGTGATTTTTTATGGGATGTTATACCTGAGCCAATATACTGGATAGTATAATCCCCCGAATCGGATCCGTGGTTTATAATCCCATACATAACCCATAGTTCATCCTCAAAAAAAGTGGGGATATTCCATTCATCTAACTGGTGGTATAACCCATTGACGAAGTTTGTCTTGAGGTGCTTGGTTTAATCCCTTGTATTACCCTCTGGTGAACTAACATAACTATGGAAAATCACCATTTTCAATGGGTAAATCCACTATAAATGGGCCATGTTCAATAGCTATGTTAAATTACCAGAGGGTAATATGTGTGATAATTTCATCACATCCCATGTTCTCTGCTTCGTGCAGGATACTCCTCCATTTTGGTTGACCACTTTCTCCATTCGTGGAATGGTCAACCAAGGGGTCCTAGGTTGAAGATCTACAAACCAAAAACAGCAGGGATAAGCCAAAAAGAATCTGAGCTATCTTGGGAATCCTGAGCTATCTGTAACTGGTAGTACTATACATATACCATCTGGTTATTTAACATAGCCATGGAAAATGGCCCATGTATAGATGGTTTACATATAAAAAATGGTGATTAAAAATGGTGTATACGTACTACATATGCCATGTGAGAAATTTCACGGGGCCTTGGGATTTTTGATTTTTTGATGGTACATTGGGAACCAAAGTCAAAGTGCAGTATTTCGTTCCCAATATCAAAAAAAAACAAGATCTCTGGAAATTTAACAATATACCAACATAATCATATACTGTCGTATATATATATATACATACATTATATACACAGTGTATATACACAGATACACACCCCCAAAATCTTTCTAGATCTTTCTAGCTCATAATGTGCTAAACCCTGCCATAAACCTAGCGGCTTAGCCTAGGCACAGCCTCATCCGCGTTGAGCTCTGGTGCTTGTGTCATGGCGGCTTCGAAGGCCTGGGTAGTTCAGCCAGCTTCAGATGTTCGCAACAATGGGAGATTTCACAACCGTGAAATGTGGGAAAATCGAAATATATCTAATTTATTTGGAGGTTTCCTAAAATGGAGGTACTCCAAAATGGACGCTATTAAAATGGATGATTTCGGGGTACCCCCATTTTAGGAAACCTCCATTTTTGTATATTTACTTTTATTATCATCGATGATGATGTGATACTTTGATTGCCTTTTTGTCACCATCGAGAATTATAAAGTACTTTAGGGATATTTTGGGATGATAATAGCAATAATAATCACACCAATCAGCTATCATAATATACTACACACCAAATTGCTATCAACATAAGGTAATATTGAGGTCTTAAGACCAAGATGTCATATCAATGAGAGACAATATCAATGTTTCCTTACCCGCCAAATGTTGAAAAACTAAGCTGTATATAGCCAACAATTATTGGACCAGCAAAATGAGGGAGCTTACCATCAACCTCCATCGCCAACCAAATGGGTATTTCGAGATGCCCCATATCTCTGTGAGCTGGGTATTATACATTATTACATCTGTATACACCTGATGAAACTTTATAGATGCTTAAATCCTAGAAATCGACCCCTGAGGTTACCAATCCAAGCAAGGTTGCGCAGTGAGGTAACCACCAACAATAGCAGTATCCAGTAGCAGTTAAAAGAATGCATAAAACCACCAATGGCCGCAACTGATGAGCAAATACAATCGTCAAGTATGTAGCTCGGTCCAAAAACGGAAGATAGCCAAGCCTGGTACAAAAACAGAATATTGTAGTCGTTTTGTGGGTTCCCAGTTGTTTTCTTAAACACTGGTGCAAAAACCTAAAGACATTTGTTTCGATATCTCACCTTCGACTACCTACCGCAATGCCACACCTTGAATCATGGCACAAATAACTGCGAGTTCCAGTTGACTCAAGGGTACAGCTTCATGTTCATGGCTATGGGTGAGTGAATAGGAACTGTCCTTAGTTGAAAACCCATGTTTGAAAAAAAAACAACTGAAATTAGGGATTTCTTCAACAACCATTCGGGCAAAATTTGAAATGATTTATCGGTGTTCTCATCATCCCGTCATTGTTATTACTAGTGTTTTCATTATCATTGTCATTATCAATGGATTGGTTTGAGGGAAAATCTACAGGAAATCATAGACTTTCCCATTAACTATGGGGCTTTCCTGTAAATTTTCCTTAAACCAATCCATTCATTATCATTATGATCATTGTCACTATGATCATGAGCATCATCATAAGGTGAGGCCCGAAAGGTATTACAGTAGTTGATTTATGTTTGTTTATAAAGCCTCTTAACACTACTTGTAACTACCATTAACCCTACCCTCTGGTAACTAACATAGCTATGGAAAATCACCATCTTGAATAGGTCAGTCATGGTAAATCAACTATAAATGGGACATGTTCAATAGCAAACTGTTGGTTTACCAGGCCGGGTAGTTGTTTAGGGGGCCTCACCTTACATGGCTTGGGTTAACATGGGCTCTGCTTCTCGATAGACGCGCCTGAAACTGGCAGAGGTATTCCAGTAGGAGCCGGACATTGTCCTCGCAACTTCATGGATTTCCGAAAGCCATATGATATCGATTACATACTTATCTATGTTATATAAATGATGAATGATCTATGGTATAATATAAATACATTATATATATATACGTTATAAATACATTATATATGTATGTATATATATATAGAGGGTTGTAACTCATAACCTCTGTCTACCATTGGTTCCTGTTTACTCGAAACTGTAGTTACCTTCCGCTAATCAAAGGTGTTTTAATATGAAAATCCAGCATGTATAGATGATTTCCCCAGCTATAAACCTACATTTCTAGATTCAGTTGAACATAGGACCGTAGGACTAGCCTATTTTGGCTTCCCACCAGGGTCATCCCTTCCCCGGTTATAAAATCACCCCCAAGATCAACCATGGTAAAACGGTAAAACGTAAAACGTGATAAACAAAAAAAAACATATGTGGGATTGAGGGGACCCAGCTATAGGGGGTGTTTCATGTTGTTTAATATGAACCGAACATGGGATTCGAATCATTCTCCACCATAGTTGCCATCCATTTATATAGTCGTTATGTTTCTGAAGCTCGTTGTCGACCATCATCCTGGAGTTGCTATGATAGGGGTCCCCCAAAAATGGAAGATCTTCCTTTAATCGATTCCCCAAAATGGTGGAGATTGTCCATTGGGGAAATAAACACATCACCTTAAACAAACCCAAGTTCTATGGATGTCCTGCAGAGTGATGCTCTCGAAGCGCCTGGAGTGGCGATCTAGAGTGGCTTGATTGGAGGGATACAATTGTCATGTTACCCTGAGGAAAACATACAAGAATCTAGGAAGCTTATAATATTTCACTAACCTGAAAAGTTCGGCCGGGGATGATTCCCTATACATTCGCCATGATTCCAGGCTTCACGACATGAGGTCACGAACTAATTTGCCCTTTTCATATGTGGAAAACCTGGCTGGTTTCCCCCGATTTTCCCTGGGAAATGATCCTAAAATGCTGGTTTTTCCAGTTTCTGACCATCAGATGACACCACTTCTGTTTCGCTTACGATCCATCGATAGCTGGTCTATCAACCATCTGCCAAGCCTCACCTCTCATGCATCACTGCAACCATGTAGACTGCTATGCTGTCGATGTAGTAGGCCTGAGATTCGTCACTTTCTGGTGTATTTCCAACTTGGAAGGTTGGTATGTGATGAGTAAACCCTTGGTATAATCTTCATGTAAATGGGACACATTTCACGCATGTTTTTAACTACACGATGTTACATTTGTGATATATAATCATATTATATATATATTATATTATATTATATATTACTATGTTATCATGTTAAGCTATATATCTATACAACTTGTACATACATGTATTAGTAGGTACTCATCCACTTCCAAACTGGAACATCCGTCCCCGCGGATTCCCAGTGAAGCTTGGGAAGTTCCCATAGGAATGGAACAAATGGGAAAATCATCTACAGACGGAGATGTTTGTTTGCCATGTTTGATTTTCAGTAGCGTATATATATATGTATACTATTATATACTATATATATATATATACATATTTATGATCCTATAATATACATCTGAGCCGCCGTCAAAATCAAGTGTTGATGCTTGGTACGAAAATATAGGTTATCGCTTTTTGGGGGGGGCTATCGCTTTACAGTGCTTTCTTCAAATCAACACTAAATAATGCAAAATTGTAGCGGAATTGGCTTCACGGATTCAGATCTCGAAACTGCCGGGGATGGATTAAGGGAGCGCTCGTTGAGTTTGCGTTTGCAACCATGTTGGGGAGCTACCTAAGCACATTCCTAGACTCTTTCCTAAGCAAAGAAATTTATTACAATCTCAACTCCAAACTAGAATGACAGTAACCCATATAAGATCAATAATTCTATGAAAACGAAAAAGGATATCGCTGTGGTCAAATGAGTCTATCCCTCGTCCGGGGTCCCTTTTTCAACAAAAGGTTATCGCTAGGTTATCGCTAAATTAGAACACCAGGATGATCAAGAAAGGAAGAGAAAGAGAAAATGAAAAGGACAAATGAAACAAAAAGGAAAAAATGAAATAGATGGAAATCAGAATTGGATTCAAAATCAATTTCGATTTATACTTCAGAATTCAATTGCATTTAGTTTTAAAGGGAAAGTAAAAGGAAAAAGGAACGTAAGTAAAAAAGGAAACAAAGGAAGAAGAATTTCAAATCAAATTATACAGCACATAAACGGAATTTAGACGTGATTTAAAACGATTTTTTGATTTGATTCAGAATTCAATTGCATTTAGTTTAGTTTAATTCTACTGCTTTGGGACCTGGGAGAAAAAAAACAAACTGCCTGCAGAAAGCAACGGTTCAATCACCTTGGACAACAAATGCCATGGCCACTGCAAGAAACGTGGGCTCTGCAGGTTGAATTTTCAGCAATTTTGCCCCATCGCGTGAAGGTGCACTGCCCAATTCCCTCTGGTTATGTCAAAATAGCTATTGAAAATGGCCATTGAAATAGTGGATTTATCCATTAAAAAGGGTGATTTTCCACAGTTATGTAAACGTTTACCAGAGGGTATGTTCCTGGTTTACACCAAGAGTAATGCACTCTCATATGGTTACAAGTGATCGCTTTTTTGGGGGGGCCTATCGCTGGATCCATGGCTTGGTGTTTCTGGACACAACTGGACCCTCCCTTACTAAAGTAGTCTGCGCTTATTTTGACCATATCTCATATGTATATATATAGATATATATATATATGTAACTATATATAATCCTCTATGAATATGTATAAATAACATCATCGCTATTTTTACATCGCACCTGACCCAGTGGGGATGGATCCAGAAAGGCTAAATCAAAGAGTTCTTCCCATCATTTAGTGGTCATAGAGTCATAGTCCTATGTTTTGCTTCTTGGTTATCTCATGTGAAATCTGATTTTAGTTGAAAAATCAGCCCTCGGATTTTTTTCGATTCCCCAAAAAAATGCAGATGAACCCCCCCATCCAGTGAAATCTCGTCTAAGGTCCAAGGTTCTAAGATGCCTCAGCTACAATGTGTTGCCGCGATTGGGGATTCAATCGGGATCCCACAAAAACCTGTCTCACAAACTCTTCAAGCCAGCAAAAGAAAATAACAGGACACATCGAAGTGATTGGCTGAAGCCTGTCTGGGAGTGGGGAATCTCCACCTGTTACAAGCCATGATGCAACCTATCGATTCATCGACCAATGCTGCACAAAATCCCTTTAAACCAATTTGATCCAAGTAGTATACCCCGACATTCCATCAACTAACCATCATTTAGGATATTTAGAGCTTGTATCTCCATAGTTGTAGCATTTTGTAGCTGTTCTATCTCCCTACCTACTCTTGTTATTTTTTTTAAACCCAACCTCTACCCAAATAGACCCGGCAATGTATAGCCAACAAAAATGGGAGGTCGTTCCAACAAGAGGTCGTTTCTCGTTGTTGCCAAGGCACAGAAGGTTGTTTCTCGACAAGCTCCCACCCAGTACCTTGTGGCCCGAAAGGACAACAGCAGCGGCAAGAACCGCAGAATGGGTTCATCTCATCGTTTAACTGTTTAACTTGTCAATATGAGTCCAATACGTAAGAGAAAACCGCTCAGTGAAACTTGGTCAACTTGATTTACCCTCTGGTAAACTAACGTAACTATGGAAAATCACCATTTTTAATGGGTAATTCCACTATAAATTGCCATTTTCAATAGCTATATTAGTTTACCAGAGGGTAATCTCAAGGTGTGGCAATCTCTGATGCTCACTAGCATCGCCTCTGAAGAAAACTGGAAGTGGATATGCCCTGCGACGTTCCGAGCTCACCTTTGGAATGGATCGATTGGATGCCAAGTTGCTGCTTCTCTTTTCCCAGTTGCGGCATTTTCCACAACAACCCCGAGACCTTAGCAGTTGCAACCAGAGGTGTCAAAAAGCAGTTGTGACCCGTCGAGGGCTTGGGGAGGTTTGGTGATCGTTGGACATAGATCTCGATCAATCCTGAAAATCCCACCAGAAATAGATCCAGTATGATCCAGTAAATCCTGGCAAATCATTGGGGTGGCAACCAACAAAAGGCAACAGTTTTTACAGGTCACCAATGGTGGATTTCGATCATCGTGGTAACCGAAGGTCAATTTGAAGTCATCCCTACATATATCCCACTCGGAAAAAGCAAAGCACTGGGATGCGTTTTCAGGAAGTCCTACTTAGTCTCAACCAAACCTTAAATAATATCGCTTCGGAAAAGAAATCGCATACTCACATCGTATTTGGGGTCTCAAAATGGACCCAAAATCACCCAGCAAAATCACCCTTTTCCCCAAAATCACCGTATTTTCCCTGTATTTTCCCCATATTTTCCCCATATGTTCATGGTTTTCATGGGGAAAATGAGGTGATTTTCACCATTGCTATTGGAGACGCCCCGGCCACGGCCGGCCACGGGACCAGGCAGATCCATCCGACATACAGGGACCACTCGGGAACGGAGCGGCCGGCGACCAGACCTCAACAAAGATGACCAAAAGTGGGAAACCTTGAATACTCCAGTATATATATATATATTATATGTGTATTTATGTATTTATGTATTTATGTATTTATCTATTTATCTATTTATCTAGATATTACTTATTTTACATATAATCTATCATATCCTGGAAACACTTTTCGGCATCTTTTTTGGGGATTGCTATAATATATATATATATATGGTGTGTATACATGCACGTACATAATCATGCGCACAACGTTGTAAAGTTTCCCGTTTGTTAATCCTGGATTGACAGCTACCCTGGTTTATGCAGCCCAGGGGGTTGTGAATCCGGGTTCACATTATGGTATATCAGCATTGGGTATATCCTGACCTACGTTGATTTCTGGAGTTCTCACTGAAGGTGTCCAAGTTGGACTTCCAAGTCTGTTTTATTTTTCTTATGTTTTACTCATTTGGAGGTGTCCGAAAATAGGGGTACCCCCAAATCATCCATTTTAGTAGGGATTTTCCATTCCATTATCCCCATTGAACCCCCCATTGAAACCTATGTCGTTTATGTCTTCTCTCGCCAAAAATGGGATCTGTCCCAAACTCTTCTCCTGTGTTGGGGCGATGAAAACAGCTGTTTTTTACGGATCATCAGTGGATAAACACATATAAAAACCATGGGTACTACAATGTGGGGCCCCCTAGATAGCCAAGTTGGTTTATAACTCCAATAACTATGGTTTATTGTACTTATAACTATTGTTAATGGGGTTTATAAACCAACTTATAACTGGGGGGCCCCATATTGTACCCATTTATTGTATTCATAGATGGAAAAACCATACGTAGTTACAACCATGGGAGAACACACGAATATCAAACTTACGATCACCAGGCTTCAATCACCCATCTAGCATCGCTCCATTTTTCCCCATTTTAGACATCGCGCACCTCTTGGCCATGCAGAATGACCGAAGAAATGGCTCATTGTTTCTAACCAACCCATTTTTTCGGGCATGTTCTACGTAACCAACCATATCTAACCACGTTCCAATTTTTGGGGTATTTCTTCTTCTTCTTATTATTATTACTTCTATCCTTTTGTGTGTGTATAGGCACAGATCCCCTCTGGCCTGTGATGAAGAGCAGCACATGCAGACACTCCAAGGGTGTCACTGCCATCCGATGCTGGATCGATGTGGCCAACTTGTGAGGATTGAATCATGAGGTGCGGAACCAGGATCCGGTTCCTCTCATTTTAAGGAGATGATTGGAGGAACTATGACCCCAATGTTCCACCTTTTTGTGAGTGTATCCTTAGATTCTCAGCAGTTTTTGTTGCCGTTTTTCGCTTCGGTGTCCGACACGGCGGAAGAATTGGTGTTTCCAAAAGCGGGTCTACATGCTGCTCAAGGCATTGCGAGCAATGGTCATCACAAAATGACCATCTGGCTATGGTTCAACCTCACCAAAAATGGATGGTTTATGATGGTTTAATACTCAAATGTTTCAAAATGCTGAAAATATATAAAAAAATGCTCCCCCTATTCATTTCTGGCTCCATTCGTCTTCAGCTCTGTGTACGCCAAGCTCAAGAGCTAAGCTGCAGCGGATGTGGCACAGAACTTGGTCACCGGTCAAAAAAATATGGTGCTTTAACCTGTATATATATATATATATATATCATAGGGGATAGAAATATGGTGAAATATGGTGAAATATTGTGATTTACCAAGAAATATGGCAATTGGTCAAGAAATGGTCAAGAAGTATGGTGGTATCATGGAGGGTATGATGATATTTCAAATATGGAAAAATATGGGGATAGAATCATATCAAATATGCAAAAAAAATAATATAAAATATGAGGATATATTGACTGTCACCAGCCATCTAGTTTGTCAATGAGTCTGTCTGAACATGCTTTAACAAAGGTGGAGCTAACCATGAAAAACGGTAAACTCAATGGGATATTCATGGGAATATGTGATAGGGATAATATGATATTTGATGATATGTGTACATACATATATATATATATATATCTGGTTGGTGGTTTTAACCATCTTGAAAAATATTAGTCAATGGGAAGGATTATCCCATATATTATGGAAAATAAAAATGTTTGAAACCACCAACCAGATAAATATTATTTAATAAATATATATATATACGTATATAATTATATATATATATAACCAACTGGGTCTGTCTGACAATGGTGAATACCCCCCAATGGCAATTTTTCGGGGAAGTGATGAGTTGTCGAATTACCAGAGGGGACCGACCATACAATTCTTGGTGATATACCCCTATCCCTGAAAGTTGAATGAGTCCTGTACAAAAAATGTACAAAAATGGATCATTCCGTACATAGTTGGGTTCAAACTATCCGGTATGCTTCATGCTGCTGGATCATGTACCTACATTTTAGCATTTTTTGAGTCAATATTGGAAAAAAAAAACAAAACCATGGAGCAGCTCTTGGCATGGAACCATTCCCGGTGACTTGCCTCAACTCTGCCATTGTCATTATCATGGTATATCATGATAATCATTGTCGTCATGGTGGTGGTGGTCGTTCGCATAAATTACTTTCTCCGAGTGATCCCCACCCTGAGACACTAGTCTGACATAGCTTCTGACATTCCCCCTTTTTGGAAGTGTTATATAAGGCATATCTATTCCATAGACAAAAATGTTCCAAATAAGCCTTTTGAGGATAGTTACCCCTTTTAACCAACAAAAATGTTCCATATATATATATATATTCTGCCATGGCCCTGGCCCACGTCCGTAACATTCAACACTCCCTAAATGATCCTACGAAACCATGGTTTCTAAGGGGTATTTAATATGAACGGGTAAAGGGATTACCATCTGGTAATTCAACGATTTGCTATGGAAAATCACAATCTTTAAGTTCGGTAATTTTCATGGGCCATGTTAAATTGCCAGAGGCTAAATCCAAATTTGAAGTCCCCATCTTTGTTTGCCGAAATTTCTGTTGGTGCATCATCTACAAATACCATGAAATACCATCATTCTTCAATTTCAATCTTCGAAATGCCATTCAAATCCAAAAAAGAAACGTATCTTGATGGTTCCCATATTAAATCCCATATTGATGGTTCCCATATCCCATAGGATCCATGGTGCTGGTATATATGCTAACATTTGGGGTATATTGATGGTAAATGTTACCATATATAGCACCATGGATCTTATAGGTATTATGTCATTATATATATATATATATGTATGTCTGGATATATACAGTATATATATATATAGGATATAATAGGACATCACTAATCCCATTAATTCGTGGTTCCCATATTATGTGGGGCCCCCCAGTAATAAGTTGGTTTATAAGCCCCATTAACTGTAGTTATAAGTACAATAAACCATAGTTATTGGAGTTATAAACCAACTTAGCTATCTAGGGGGCCCCACATTGTATTATGTCATATTTTATATATATCACTACAGAATTCCCATGGAAAAAACCCATCCCATGAGCCCATCCTCGGCATCACCCGGACCTGCCATGGCTTCCTGGCGGCGATCGAACTCAAAGGATACCCATGGATACCCGGCCTGGTAAACTAAGATAGCGAACTGGAAAATCACCATTTTTGATGGGTAAATCACCATTTTTGATGGGTAAATCACCATTTTTCATGGGAAAATCACCATGTTTAATTGGTAAATCACCATTTTATAGCTGGGTAAATCAACTATTTCGACTGGGCCATTTTCAAGTTCGCAAACTGTAAACGTTTACCAGAGGGTACCAAAAACTATTGAAGCCATGGCCCAAAATTTATAGTTCGTTGACTTGCCGAATATCCGAATTTAAAGATGGCGATTTTCCAGTTCGCTTTTTGTATGTTTACCAAAGGATAAATGGATCACCCGTTTCCATTTCCATACTGTGGATGGTTGTGAAATCCTGCACCACCTGGGTAAAAAAAAAACTATAAATAATGGAAATCCATTTCCATCTAAATCATGCAAGCGCATTTTTGTCCTCACCATAAATGGGATCCATTTCAGCATTTTTTCAAAATTCAATGGGGTTCAAACTGGTGAAATGAATGGAAATGGATTAATAATATGTGGCAGTGGGTCAAAACCTTGTACCCCTGGTGAACATCAAAATAGCTGGTAAATGGATGTTCATCCCCCTAAAAATGGTACTTATAGGTATTGATCCATAGCCATGTATTAATGGTTAAGAATGATATGGAAATGGACATGGATGAAAATGGATGATCATGAATTTCCATTCAATTCATGGTGCATGATGGAAATGGATGAAGATGTCCATGAAATGATGGAAATTGAATTAGATAGAATCACTATGATGGATCGCAAAATGGTGAAGAATCTCTGGAGAAATAGGATGGACATTAAAACCAATGTGATTCTTGATATGAATGGATTGGTTTAAGGGTAATTTTACAGGAAAACCCCATATTTCATGGGAAAATATATGGTTTCCTGTAGATTTTCCCTTAACCCAATCCATTGATGATATGCTGTCCATATCTGCCAATTTAATTATCCGTGTATGTATCCATATCTTTAACTATACCACCAAGATGGACAGTATAGTGGAAGAACATATGAACTCCAAAATAGTTTAACTAGTTCTATAATGGGATGTGTTGGAACTAGGTCATTATTTCTTTGGACAAAATTACTAAGCAAGATTGTTAGTAACATCATGTGATCTTCTCATGTTGCATGGGAAAAAATGTTATATATATATATATATACGTATATTTATGGTTACTTAAAGAATAAGTAGTTATGGTTGTTTATGGTTGTTTATGGTTATTTATGCTTATTTTACGGCTATCTAAAGAATGTACAGTAGATATTAATTGATTGATGGTAAGTCCCCATTCATTGATGTACCCGGGCGCCATTGGTGGATGACTGGGTAGGAAACCGGCCTGTAATTTTCGATTATATCCCATTGTGTCACCTTTAATAGACTACAAACCATTAGTCATATCCCATCATACTCATCTTTTTCATGGTCATTTCATGTTCATCATCCTTTGTTGATCCCAACATCACCAGCCCCTAAGGTGGTGTGCCAGTTTGTCGCTGCTTGGAAGAACTAGGTGAATGTTCACTATGGTAAAGCAGTAAATAAGAACCATATCGACCCATAGACATAAGTTACAAGTTATAACTATGTATGTATTTATATACCACAAACGACTTTAGTAACTTTAGTATATCTACAGGTTGGGTTCTAAACCAACAAACGACTAAGTGTTGGAACCTCAAATTCCACCAAAAAAATCCTCAGTTCTGACCCTGTCCCCACGAGTTTGGACCTTGAAATTCCCAAAAAATCCACCGCGCAGTGAACGGTTCAACCCGTCCTTGGTCAGCTTCAGAATGTCTTGGACTTCAGCCCAGCGCTTCAACACCTCCGAAGATCCAAAGATGATCTGAAAGGATGGGATCATCGATGATAATGGGATGATAATATATGATAATATATATGATAAATATATATGATAAATATATATGATAAATATATATGATAATATATGATGGTGATGGATTTTACTGGAATTAAATGGATGTTGACGGTTGATGGCCAACAGTAGATGACCTTCGCGACCATCTACTTTTCTGTCATGCCATGTACCTTAGTGATGGATGGTAATGGTAAGTACATTCGTAAATTTCTAGTTGGCAACTAAGCTTAATGCATGAATATGATAATGGAATGACAATGATAATGGGATGATAAATGATGATAAATGATGATAAATATGTGAATTGATGGTATAAATATGTATAAATGACCGTACCCTCTGGTAATTTAACAGTTTGCTATTGAAAATGGCCATAGAAATAGTGGATTTTCCCATAAAAAATGGTGCTTTTCCATAGCTATGTTAAATTACCAGGCCGGGTAAATGTCCTTTTTGCTTCGGAAACATCCACTGAGTTGCGATTTCTCTCCGGCGCCGGTTGGTAACTCTCGCCTCAGAGGCGATGGCCTTGCGCTCGCTGATGTCCAGATTCACAAAGAGCTGCACGCATTCGGAGACCTGGCGGATCCGGATCCGCCACGGGGATCAACGGGAGCTTTATGCTAATATCTGATATTATGGGGATT